ATATAAATAAATAAACAAGACGTTTCAAAAAGAATAATCTTGGCGTGCTAATGGTTCCGCTTGCAATAGAGTTGTGACAAGGAGAGCGTGGGGTTTTCACCATGTGTTGTTCGCGATGAGCCCAATAGTAAAATAGATAAATGGGCTAGTTGGTACATCATTGAATGGAAAGCGCCGAATGAACAAGGACGAAGAAGGGGACAGAGACGAAGCGCACTCACAACTGAAGGTTTATTGAAAACAACATTGACTATTAATACCGTCTATCAGGGTGTTGGCTCAAAAAGAAAAACTCTTTATCAGTTAAGTGCAGTGACGGCGCACTAATACACAGACTCACCCCTTGCTCTCTTATGCGGAATGCCTCGTGTATTTCTCGCGCTGTTTTGTTTTCGTATCTGCCCAGAACTGTTGTTTTTTCCAATTCCGGGCCACATGGGCACCTATCACAATGCACCGCAAGATTGCCCGACGGGGACTGTTTGACTGACCAGGCATGTTCTCTGGCCCTTTCATTTATGCAACGCCCCGTTTGGCCGACATACGATTTCCCGCAACTCAATGGTATGTTATACACCACTGACGTTGCACACTCCACGTATTGATTAGCGTGTTTCTTTTGACACACCTTACCCTCTCCCTTTTTGTTGTTTATTTTTGAACACAAGTGAGACAGCTTGTGCGGCGCTGAAAACACCACCGGCACTTCAAAATGAGCCGCCACTTTTTTTAGATTGTGCGATAGGTTATGAATATAAGGAATCACCGCCGGTCTTGTTAGTTGTCTGGAAGGAATATGATCGTCATCTTTTCTCTTCATCTTAGAAACAAGGTTATCCGCTACTTCCACCAAGAAGCGATCGGGGTACCCTCCGCGTTTTAGACGATTCACCTGCGTGAGGAAGCTTTCATCCGCGACATGGTGGTTGTGCAAGGGAGGCTCTCATTAGGCACGATGCTGTTCCCCTTTTAACGAGTTTGGATTGCGCAGAATTGAAGGGCAGAACCCCTTTCTTAGTTCGCGGCTCATATTTCCAACAAACATGCTCACCTTCGAAGTTGAGGCTCAAATCCAAAAACTGAAGCCTTCCCCTCGTCATAGTTTCATGGGTGAACGTCAATCCGTGTGAATTCAAGTTAAAACAATCCAACACATCGCTGATTAAGTCCATGGTAACAGTAACGGACTTAGGGGCAAGCACCAAGAAATCATCGACATACCGTGACATACATACCCATGAAACTATGACGAGGGGAAGGCTTCAGTTTTTGGATTTGAGCCTCAACTTCGAAGGTGACCATGTTTGTTGGAAACATGAGCCGCGAACTAAGAAAGGGGTTCTGCCCTTCAATTCTGCGCAATCCAAACTCGTTAAAAGGGGAACAGCATCGTGCCTAATGAGAGCCTCCCTTGCAAAATCATGCCACCATGTCGCGGATGAAAGCTTCCTCACGCAGGTGAATCGTCTAAAACGCGGAGGGTACCCCGATCCCTTCTTGGTGGAAGTAGCGGATAACCTTGTTTCCAAGATGAAGAGAAAAGATGACGATCATATTCCTTCCAGACAACTAACAAGACCGGCGGTGATTCCTTATATTCATAACCTATCGCACAATCTAAAAAAAGTGGCCGCTCATTTTGAAGTGCCGGTGGTGTTTTCAGCGCCGCACAAGCTGTCTCACTAGTGTTCAAAAATAAACAACAAAAAGGGAGAGGGTAAGGTGTGTAAAAAGAAACACGCTAATCAATACGTGGAGTATGCAACGTCAGTGGTGTATAACATACCATTGAGTTGCGGGAAATCGTATGTCGGCCAAACGGGGCGTTGCATAAATGAAAGGGCCAGAGAACATGCCTGGTCAGTCAAACAGTCCCCGTCGGGCAATCTTGCGGTGCATTGTGATAGGTGCCCATGTGGCCCGGAATTGGAAAAAACAACAGTTCTGGGCAGATACGAAAACAAAACAGCGCGAGAAATACACGAGGCATTCCGCATAAGAGAGCAAGGGGTGAGTCTGTGTATTAGTGCGCCGTCACTGCACTTAACTGATAAAGAGTTTTTCTTTTTGAGCCAACACCCTGATAGACGGTATTAATAGTCAATGTTGTTTTCAATAAACCTTCAGTTGTGAGTGCGCTTCGTCTCTGTCCCCTTCTTCGTCCTTGTTCATTCGGCGCTTTCCATTCAATGAGCCCAACATTGACACCGCGTCCACCAGAGTCTGACTATACTTCGTTTCAGCTTCGGTCCAGACGCCGCCAAAGCTACAAGCGCGAGCTCCGGGCTTTCAGCATCCCTGCCAAGCACGCGCGCTGGTGCAGTGCAAGCACTGTTCTGGGCCACATGCTCGCGCTTGTAGCATCGGCTGCGTCTGGACCGAAGCTGAAACGAAGTATAGTTCAAGTACGCTTCAAAAGCGTGTACATTTGAGGGGGGGGGGGCAAAGAATGGTTGGAAGCAAATAGTGTTGCGTCATTTCGAACTTTTATTCTGGAAGAGGAAGTCGCCATATAAGGACTCTCTTGACATTGTTTAATTTAGGGATAACACTGGGATACTCGATTCAGTACAATATTCTCCCCCCCCCCCTTTCCGTAATTTTCTTTACCTTAATTAAGTCCGAGCGCAGTGAAAGCTACCCAGCTACCAGCTGGTCGGTCAAGCCACGACAAAACTCCAGCAAGGCAGCATTCATAATCTAACCGTGTGCGTGCTATCATTGACGAAACCAATCAGCCGGAGTTCAGGCACCGTGATCTTTCGTTTTTAGTCTGTGTGTGTTCACTTGTGTGTGGTCTAGCCTTGACTACGCTCGGACGCATGGTGAAACAGAGTAGTAAACGTCAAGCTCGATACGACGTTGGTCCGAAGGCGGTGCACATCGCCCTAAACTTCTCGCAACTCAGACCCCTTTTTTTCGTAAGTCGGAATCACCTAGCGGTCACATTCGGAGCTTTTGCCGCGGGGCCTCTCGATTCCGGTTCCAACTCTGCTGAGAAGCACATTTTTTGTTAGAGAGAACCCGGAGTTATCACAGCTGCCGCAGTGAGAGGTAATGAACCTGGTGGCGCTGCTGTGAGTAGCGGCGGTGGCTGAACCCCCTAGGTTTGCTGCGTTCGTCTTACAAATATAGCGACACGCAGCTCGGAAGCAAATAACGGCACTGCACCGAAAGGTGCAGCCTTTGGAAGCAAATGGTGTCGCAGCATGCATTCGCTCGTGTCACGTGTATCGCGCATCCGCACAAGAGATGTGGTCGGATCGAGGGACATCAGCCCAACGCTTAAACCAAAACCACTTAGAAGACAAGGCCTTTTGCCCCCAAACGTCATCATTGATTGGATACAAGCAGCGCTGCCTGCCTTGCGTCAGGGTCATGCAGCGTCTCGGAACATGAAGCGTCTCGGAACAAACACGGTGTTAGCACGCGGCGGAGCAAAGGGGGATGCGCCTGCCGCTTTGCGAAGATTCTCGTGTTTGTCGCTTGGTGGCGGGTCGGGGATCTACTGTCGATGACGTCATGAGCAGGCCTTGTCTTCTAGCTGGTATTGCGGGTTCATCGCCTCCTATAGCTGGCGATGCAGTAGTGCTGAATTTTCTGCGTGACCTCTATAGAGGTCACGTCGCGTCAACGTTCGACGGAGACTCGTCTTCGGATGAAACGCGTCAAATAAAACGGCTTCGCGTGCACCAAGGGCCGACAGCAGCGCCGCCGCAGCAACGTGACGTCCTACCTCCACGTTGGTTTGTATGCCTTGGCAAAAGTGACTTCAGCTCACTGATATTGGCAAATCAGATTTCGGGGGTGCATTGATTTTTGGGACTCACGTGTCGACATACTCGAACGTGGTCGATGAGATTCTTGTGTAGTCAATGATGTCGCGGTCAAGAAGCTTAATAACGAGTCAAAAAGTGAAAAAAGTTCCGTCTTCGAAGTGCGTAACGTGTAGCACTTTCAAAATGCAGAGCGGGCAATGTCGGAGCGCGGAAACAAAGAAAAACGCTGAAATCGATGTGGCCAGCATGCCGATATGCATGAACCGGAAACTGAGCAAGCGGTTGACCATCGAAGAGAGAACATTGAAGTTTCAGTTCGAAACATGTCAGACAAGTACTACGAATCGTTGGAATATCTTCGTCAGCATGATAAAGACTTATAAAGTCTAGCGATGCGCGTGGAACAAATTGAAAAAGCGGGAACAAATGGACAATACAACAAGAACTGAAGGAACATGAATGGCACAGTAATATGTGGACGGTGTTGCACAAACTGAAAACGAAAGAAGCTTTGTTTCACGGGTGAACGACGAAAATGTTCCGGCGTTGAAGTCGAGCCAGGCAGCATGGTTGCAAAGGCTCCTCTCTAGACAAAAAAAAAAGAAAAAAAAAAACAAACAAACAAACAAACGGATTTTTGGAATAATTGTGCGCTTTGAACATCAACAAACTCGCGACCATTGACTAAATATAATTTGTGGTTATGATTTTAACATCAGCATGTTAAGCGATACTGCTTCGAAGAGAAAAATAAAAAAAAATTATTAGCCGTGTATGGTTGTCGTGGTTTGATCCATTAGCCGACCAGGGTAAACATTATTTCAGAAACCATCGTTGATTTGTTTATTAATAATTACGAGGAAAGCCGTGTAAGGTCTTAAATACTAAGTTATGACCTTAGTGATCATCGTTCCATTTTTATGTGTGTCACAATTAATTCCGCAGAAGAAAAAGCATTAGCCTCCTTTGTGTTAGCTCGAAGTATTAAACCAGGAAGTTTTCAGAAATTTACACAAAATGTAGCCCACGCAAATTGAAACAATATTTAAAAACAAAAAAACAAAAAACATATTGCCCAAGTGAGTCGTACAATTTTTTAATGCAGTTTAAGGATATTTCTAGGTGTAAGTTCCCCCGTAAATTAATCCTTAAGGAATGTATTCGAAAGCCGTGAATAATGACAGACTTTCTCGGAAGAATAAACGTAAAGAATGTGCTATACAAAAACGTTTGTGGAGACTAGACATTCCAGTTACCTTCAAACTGACAAATGTTTTCGTAATAAACTTTCAAAAGACCCGAGGAAGGCCAGGGAATGTTATTATCATGAATGATTTTACGTCACCAAAAGGTCGAATTATCCTTACATGGATCACTATATAGATCAGAGGCTATGCTTTGAAACGCAGCATAATATGAGTATTTTGCTGCTCACTTCATCGGCGGTTTTTCTTTTCTTACCTTTCCAAATCGGTGCTTATGTCGTTTAGTATGCGGTAATAATTGCCGAATTTTATTTGCATATTCATAATACCCACTGATCGGGCATCACCCCACTCGAACACCAAAAGCCCAAACACTACTCGCAAAATATACATTGTTAGCAAAAGGCTTTACATTTCAAATTCACAAAATTACCGCTAAAATAACTTGTCCGTGGACATCCAGCACAGCGAAAGATTAATGGGAATGACAAAAGAAGCAACTTTGATCTTTTTTTTTACTATGCCCCGTTACAGCTAAACAAACGCAAGGTGTGTCCCGTTAAGATCACGTCTCTGACTTGGTGATTGGCTGTTCGGTGTTCTTATCGGCTGATGCGGCGATCTTATTGGCTGAGGAGCGATCATAAGATGACAGGGACTCGCCACAACCCTGCGTTTCTCAGGTTGTCGGTGACATAAGACAAACATCGGTGCTTGTCGCTCTCGTAGATGAAAGCCCTTAGGAGTGCACCACTTCTGGGCTCATGGGTAATCTGAGCCAACTGCGACGCTCTTCCAGATAAACTTTGACAGCTACTCGCACTTCACGTCGGCGTCTTCGGGCGAAAGGCATCCGGTACATTTTCCCTGGAACATGCTGGTGATGCAACCTTCGGGGCAAGCTGGACATTCTTTGTTACGAGAGTCAGGATCGTCCTTGGCTGTCGCGTGGGGTTTCGCAGGAGCCACGGCACGCCCGACTCGATCGAACACGCTGGGGCCCGCTGGCTTCCCATCGCAGGAGCATTTTGAACATTCTTCATCGTCGCCTCGAACCGGGAAACATCCAGGGCCCTCTTTCTCGCAATCCAACTCCGGGCAATCCGACCGCGCACCTGTAAAAAAAAGAGAAAAAAAAAAGAGGTATATGATATATCTAATATTGTGCTCGATGCAAAACGCGCAATGAAATATTAGTCGTGTTTAACCGTTCATAACCAATCACGGATGTATAAATTAGAGCCACTAAACTAGCTACACTTAGAGTATCGGCACTCTGTTCCCCGATATTGTTGTGGGCGTTGCCATCTTGGTGCTTGTGCAAAGCGAACAAAAGTGCCGATCGTCGTGATTCAAAAGTGCGACTTTCTCAGCATTAGATTCGGTTGTAGGAAGCTCAGGTAATATTGCTTTGCTCTGTCGCGAACTGTTTAAACATTTGTGTAGGACGGAAAAGCGTATTCTGTGATCTCAGATAAAGCTTCAGATGATTGACAACCATGATTAAAGCCAGAAGATGGGGAAGTGTCGTTACATTAAAGTGTAGCTTATCTAGGAACACTAATATAATTTAGGATCCTCAGAAAAAAAGAAAGAAAAAAAAAGTCATCCTTCTTGACATAGCTTGCACTGACGTCACATCTGTGGCCATTATGTGGGCCTTGCTGCTTAGCTAACACTATATAGTGCCACTTAATAAGCTGCCCTTGGGAGTAACGATACTTAGCCATATTGTGTCTTAAACGCTTTTCCGTCCTCCACAAATGTTTGAACAGTTCGCGACAAAGCAAAGCAATATCACATGAGCTTCTTAACACCGAATCTAAAGCTGAGAAAGTTTCACTTTTGAATCATGACGATCGGCAGTTGCGTCTGCTCTGCAAAAGCACCAAGATGACGACGCCCACAACAATGTCGGGGAACGGAGTGCCGGTACTCTAAGCGCAGCTCATCTAGTGGCTCTATACTTCGTTTCACGTCATGTGCGAGCGAAGTCAAAGCTAGAAGCGCGAGCCCAAGGCTCTGAGCGTGACGGCTTCGCACGTGCGCTCGTGCACCACAGGCGCTGTTACAAGCAGCATGCTCGCACTTGTAGCGTTGGCTTCGCTCGCCCATAAGGTGAAACGAACTATAGCTGACGCTAAACGCCGGACGCTGCCGTTCGGCTTTCGAAAGTGTTCGAACAGTGGGTTGCGTCTGCCCACTCGTTATACCAATCAGAGCTGGGTGCTCTGACATCCCCGCGCGCTCTCAACTAGTCCTCTCACTTAGCTTCTATCTCTAGGACCATTCGAATGGTCGCGTTCTGGGCGCTGCCATCTTTGTGTGGTGAGCTGTGGAACGCGTTCTGAGCATGCGCAGTAGCTCTCTTGTGCGATATTTGATAGTGAGTTCGTTTCACACGCACTGGCACCGTTCGAGTTCTCTCCCAGAATGCATCGCACTCACAGAGTGTTGCACGGAAAACTGGACTCAAACGAACTCGCCAAATGCACCGAGTGCAGAAGACTGATGCTGCCGCCATCTATGTTGTAGAAAAGGTACCGACTTCAAACCGAAACTAGCGCCTTTCTGTTCCGAGTGATGCGTGGTAATGCGAGACTGCAGTCGCTACCAGCGTTTATCTACAAACGTTGGCAACTGCAACCTGTAGTTTATACTTCCGATGTCTTCAAGCAGCTCGGCTGCCGAAGAGATAGTTACAGACGGCGTAAATTTCCGCAACCAGCTGTCTACAAAGCAGCTGGTTGCGATCTTTCAAAACACCGTTTACACTGAAGAAAACTGATGATGCTGTCCGAGCAGAAGCTTGATCCGTTTGAGCATGGTATTATGCGTGAACCACCGAAAAGCTACGGCTTAAAACTAGCCTGTTGGAATATCCAGCAAAACTGGGACTTTCGATTTGGATCGTCATTATAGGTGAATTAGGTATTAGCCTTGGTGAGGGCGTCGAGAACGGGAGCTTTCTCGAACAAAATACGACGGGGCAAGTTAGCTGCGTAGGTAAATGTTAAACATGATGATGTTGCCCAATCCTCGGGTAAAGTCACCATCTTTAGCTTTCTCTGATGCTTGTTGGGAAGTCAGAGGTTTCTGCTGGGGGAGTTTTATCGGCAAATGTTAAATTTTTCACCCGCACACGGATGGTGATAGACATCTCGGGGGCCGCTGTTGCGTTTGTTCTGAGCATTTCTTTACACACAGGTATATTTCAGCGTTTGAACGGCAACAGAGCGATTTAAAACCTGCAAATAAATCACGGGTTCTCAATTGCTTCTTTCGTGAAATAGCAGACGCTCACAATTCAAGCTCGCGTTTGATTCCGTTGCCCGCGGGACGCGATTTCTATCAGAAAATCTACTTTTTTTTTCCCGTTCGGTTCCGCGACACATCGTAGCAGACGAACCCTCGTCGTCTGCTTCCGCTCCTCGCCGACCCCGCCGGAGCGAGGCATGACGGGATTGCATTTTGGCGCACTCCCGATTTTCTCGGTGCAGCGAGTGCATGCACGCGTGGGGTGTCAGCGCTGAAACGAACTCGGAGAGTGCAACCACTCGTGGAGCGCCGGCCGAAACGAACCCGTTCCACGCTGCGAGTGGGCACGCGTGGGCACGAGTGCCGTGAAACGAACCCGCTATGAGATGCCTCGGATGCGTAAAATTACACATTAAAATGGTCCGTAAAAATCAGACTTCATGTATCGATCACTAACTTTTTTGTTCATCCTAAAATTTATAAATGCGTACTAAAATTTCAGTTCTCTGCTACCAATCGAACTAAAAAAAAAAACCCGGATATTTTCGATGGCGGAGCGGCAGCTGCCGGAGGGAGATCGAACGACGGCCATGTTTGCCCAGCTTATTCAGAGATGGCGCCACCAATGCCAGGAATGCGGGTGAGCGCAGGTGTGCTGAAAACGCGAGCAGAAAATTGAATTCAGCTTGCGTTCCTGCGGCTATCGGAAACACAAAGCGAAACCCGCGCTTGAAAGAGAGTTCTTTGCGAAGTCGGGCACCCTGCCACCACCCAGTATTTGTTGCCACCCTGCTGGCACTGCTTGGCTTCCGGGGATCAGTGGCTCTACCTCTGAATACGCTGGGCAAACATGGTCGACGTTCGATCTAAAGCCCCTTCTTTTTTTACAAGTACCGCCAACCACTGTTGTTTACAAGCACCGCCGCCATTCGCTTCTAAGGGCCGCTCATTTCAGTGCTGCGCCGCCTTTTACTTTCAAGATCCGCTCGAAACACGGGCCTCGTGCACTGGCGCGTTCGATGCTACTTGAAAGACCCACGCAAACACATCAAGGGGCTTTAGTCCGATCTCCTTCCAACAGTTGCCGCTCCACCGTTGTAAAATTCCATTTTTGAATTATTTTTTTTTAGTTATATTTGGAGTAGAGAATTGAATTTTTTTTTTTTTTTTTTTAGTATGTTAATTGTACCAGTAAAATACGTATTCGAGAAAAGTGACGCCTTGATACGCTAAGTCGCATCATTTTACGGGGCATTTTGTCGCGTGATTTTTTTTTTGCGACACACTTTATTTTATTTAGCATCTCCCCTAGGCTTTTTAGCCAAGTACATTTCTTAAAAAAAAACAGCACATAAAAATTAAGAAAATAATGCTCGGAAATAACACTTGCACTGGGAATCCCCCCCCCCCCCCCTCCCCCCCCAAAAAAAAAAGCGTGACAGAAAAAAAAAAAACAACTTTCAGCCTTTTTATTATGGTGAAGAAGGAAGACCAGCGAAGCTGTACTGTGGTGGGAAAGAAGTAATGGCCGGCCGCAATTCGGCAAGCCGCAGTGGAATGGCTGCAGAGGTTACCGCGATCTATGAGTGACGGCGGAAAGCAGACAACCGGCAAACACAATTTCTGGACAGCTACCGCCATCTGTGAGCGACGGCGGCAACCAGAGTGTTGTGTCGACATTTTTTCATTTCATTTTTTTTTCATTTATTATTCTCTCAGGGCCCGAAGGCATTACAGAGGGGAGTGGGCGGTCGACAGATAAAAATAACATAGTTGAACGAGGCAAAAATAGAAAAAAAACAAAAAACACACACACACACACAGCAAAAACACGCGCTACGCATCATCTGTTAAAAAGTTGGTAATAGCATTTTTAAAATAAACAGTGTTAGTTATTGAGACTATATGTGCGGGAAGGCGATTCCAACCAATGGAGGTTTGGGGTAGAAAAGAAGCATTAAAAGTGGATGTGCTACAATGGGGAATCCCTACCTTTAGGTCATGGTCTACACGTGATGATATGTACGATGGTTCTAAAAACAATGCTTGACGGAGAGCGGGGTTAGAGTAATAAATCTTGTGAAATAAACATAGACGAGATATTTTTCTTCGGAGAGAGAGATCAGGTAAGGAGAGGGACGATTTCATGGAAGTTACACTGGCTGTACGATGATAGTTCGAGAGTATGAAACGGGCAGAACGATTCTGAATAGATTCGACAGCTGATGCAAGGGTGATACCGGGGCTCCAGATAGAAGCTGCATATTCCAGTTTAGGACGAACTAGGGTTTTATAGAGGAGAAGTTTTAACGAAAGAGGAGCAAGCGAAAAGTTACGTTTGAGATAGCCCAAAAGCCTATTTGCGTTGTTAGTGACATATTGGACGTGGATATTCCAGGAGAGGTCGTTGGTTATGTGAATGCCGAGATATTTATAGGAGGACACAGAAACTAAAGTAGAATTGTTAATAGAGTAGGAAGGACAAGTGTTGTTATGACGAGATACTCTCATAGATGTACATTTAGTGATGTTAAGCTCCATGAGCGATTCCTTGCACCATTTGCAGATGTTGTTAATATCAACCTGAAGGGCGGAAATGTCAGAGTCGTTAACTATCTCTTTATAAATTACACAATCGTCAGCGAACAAACTAATAGAGGAAGAAACATGCACAGGAAGGTCATTGATATAAATAAGAAATAAGAGTGGTCCGAGTACGGAGCCCTGAGGGACACCGGAGTTAACAGGTGAGGGCGAAGAATTAGTGTCATTAGTTCGAACAAATTGGAAGCGATTCGTTAGGAATGATTTTATCCATGTGAGGACATTGGGATCTATATTAAGGTTGAAGTTTATGAAGAAGTAGCTGGTGAGAAACCTTGTCAAAAGCTTTTGAGAAATCCAGGAATATGCAGTCAGTCGTAGAACCCCGGTCTAGAGTGAGGTGAAGATGATGA